TATGTGGAATTCTACTTTAGTCCTGGAGTCCCTTACAGAATTATTACAGCTTCTAGTTTCCTCAGTCTGTTACTGCATTTTTTTCCCCCTATCTTTAAAGAACTACAGCTATGCACAAGGTAATTCAAGCAGGAGATAGCAGTTTATGGAGACTGTATTGTTCTCCCATTTTAAGCTTTATACTGACAGATTTTTAAATTATCATTTCCCTAGTAAATCTAACTGATAGAGCAAAAATTAAACTTTTCTGTTAACAGTCCAGATATCATCATCAGTTCTGAAGTTCAGGATGTCCTTTGCTTTTTTCCTGCCCTAATTTAGAGGCCCCAAGCTTTTTAGAAATTAGAGATTTATCTGAGTTATGCATATAACTTACATTTTTATAGTTAACATTTTACAATTGATTTTAAATAAGCTGATTCTATATTTGAATTCTGTGAAACTAAAGGAATCTCTACTGGGGGAGAAGTTGTTGTGGTTTCCCCACACACACAAGTATTGCAACTTTTTTTACCTTCTGTATAATAACAATAGTAGTTGTAAAATGCCCCTCCTTCACTACCTCAACAACTTTGTGTTTCAGTCTGTGGCAATTTTTCTTAGAAAATTATAATACTGCACATAATATTCAGAAAAGTATTAAATATATTTTTATTATAATTCAAATCAGTATTTTAAACTATCAACTTGATGCTTTGATTTACATTTGCTTCTTGGGAAGAATGCATATGCATAAGAAACCATTCTGTTGTAATGCATTCTGCCACTTTCCTGTTATCCCGCTAGCAACTCTTAATTTTGTTCTACGAAGAAGAATCCTCTCGGATCAATTTTTTTCTTGTATTTGAACAAATAGCTGGGAAGGATTTGTAAGCAAAGAACTTTTGTAATTTGTAAACAAAGAACTGTTGCAGGAAAATAACCACCTCAGAACTGGTTTTATGGGATTTCTGGGTCTTTGGAGGCTTTGCCTTTATGGCTGCACATGTTGGGCAGACCTTAAGAACCGTGCTTTGCAGTCATAGGGGCCAAACCAAAGATGGAGGAGGAAAGAGGCCCAGACTGTTAGCTGGTCACTGCTCACCTAAATGCCTACAATTCAGGGTTACAAGATCAATGTTGTTAAGGGCTCTTTCTAGAACCAGCCTGTTTACTTGTCCTTGATATCTGAAATATCAGCTGTTTTCTAGAGATTTCAGTCTTTGCAGTTTTTTTGTCCTTGCCCATTGCTACAGTGTACAAATTATTGCAGTGGCTCCCCGCCCCCCCCC